AATACTTATTAATATTAATAATCTTTAAATTTTATTAATATTTATTTATAATTAATAGTAATGACTAATAATTAATATTAATGAGTATTATAATTAGAAACAATGACAATAAGTTACCAAAATGCTACTTTAAGTAACGTTTTAATAAACTAACTTATATACATTTAAACATGTACCCAGAAAATAAACTAGCTTGTTTTTGTATAATTAGGGACTATTTGGTTGATTTTTCATTAAGTTTTATATGGATAAAATAGCATATGTAGATTAATCTATCTGTAATTATTTACGAGAGTTTTTCATAGATGAATGAGCGTATTTTTTTAATTGAGAGAGACATGTTTGAAAAAAAAAACTTGACTTTTTGCATAAAGCTCCCTCTATAAGCTTACCGTATAAACCACTTTTTATATTATTAAGTCACTACTCAATAGTCAAAGATAGCTGACCGAATAAACTATTAGTCTCATTGAGCTTATTAACCTGCTAATAAATAAACCCTCAAATTTTATATTCTCAACATTTTTTTTGATTAACCTGAATATCCAACCCGCTATGCGAGCCGACTAATCCCAGGACGACCACCTGCTTCGCAGATAGCCCGAAGTCACCGCATTTGAACATTCGTGACCACAAGGGGATTTTTATTCCTCCTTGGATTTGAACCTGAGACCTCCTGGTACTTTTGACATTTGAAGTCAAGTTCAAACCAATCAGACATTATCCTTATGGTTTATTCTCAACATTTTTATCTTTATAATTCAAACGTCTATAACAATTAATAAATACAATCTTTTAAAAGTAGACGTTACTTTTGGCTTTTTTTTTTTTTTTTCTCACATGAAAAGTAAACCAAGTTGAGGTAAGTGTCACAAAAAACACTACACCTTTTTATTTCATCATTTCTTTTTTTATTTAAATAAATTCATTATACTTTTTCTCTTTAAAAAGTAATATCCATTTTTTTTAATCTTAAAATAAATATTCATTTTTAAAAAATAAATGCATATTTTTTCATTCTGTATTTAATTATCTATACTATATTATAAAGCATTTGGCTAAAACTCTTAAAAACTCTTAAACTCTTAAAACTCTTAAACCCGTTCATCCCTAAACAATTTCATCTCTATCCGATTTCATCCCATAACTGAATTCGTGTAACTAACTGCAGATAAACACAATCAAATACAGGATAAACATC